ATCAAGTCTTAAATCAGACTTTAGTTCCACCTGGAGTAAATTCACAAGCTACCCTGCAGTATACAAAGTCATTCAAACTCATTTTTAAACACTTTAATGATCAATAATTATAAAACATATCATATACATTATTATGAAATGGACCAATCTGCAAAATGACTACTTTTACTGTCGCTACTTTAACTAGGTGTTGATGATAATACTTTTCTAATTTTACTTGAGTAACACTTCATCCACCTAACCCTGTCTGATTTCAAACTCTTCCATTAACAGCCTGAGTAAGTTTGCAGGCAGCTGTGTGTTTTAACTGCAGCAGCTTGACCACAGAGCGTGACCGTTGTGATCAGCTGATTTTGCGCAGTTCTCCAGTGTGTGCGCGGGGCACAGAATGTGCACAGGGGAGTCTGCCACTGCAGCCAGTTGATGTAGTTTTGGTACAATTCTGTTGTAGGCCTACACACTGACGTTAACAGCAGCCCCGTCTGTGCACAAGGCGACCAACTCTGTCGTCCAGTGATCTAAGCCTCTTTCTCCTGTGAAGCTTCACAGGTCCGTCGGTTATGTCCTGCGCGGCACAGCCAGCACCCAGTTCAATCAGTCATAGAAAGTCCGAAGATTTTTGCAGGGAGCGAAACGGCAAAGTGGCTGCTTAATGTCTTTGTTTTTTTTGGACATGTCTAATAATTTACTCCACTGAGTGTTGACAAGAAACACGTATAGACGAAATATGTGTTTTTGTTTTGATGACCTATCAGGTACGCAAAGGCGCGTTGTGACACAAGTGACGTTACGCATTTCAGATTGTTGCCGCGCATGCGTGCCTGCGTACCAGTTATGTGCACCCCTGTTTATAAACATTTTAAGTATTGCACATCTTTAAACATGACTCTTATAAATCACTTTTAAAACCAGCGATGCACTACAGTGTCAGCTTTTCTAAAATAGAAACTTCAATGTTCACATCTTTCTAAATCAGGGCTCTCCAACACGTCGATCGCGAGCTACCGGTAGCTCGCGGGCAGCTTTTCAGTAGCTCGCTGCTCGATTATCGATTATAGCGCAGTAAGGTTGCTTATTGATTTTTCGGCCGCGGCTGGACAATAACGTTTTTTTATTTTAGAATTGTTTCTGTCACACGAATATCAAATGGTCGGTGACGCAGAGATCATGGAACAGACGTGACAGCAGCACAGCGACAACACACACGGAGCAGTCTGCTTTCTACACCAACACCAGTCCAGAACCAACAGCAGAATGACCCGCTCTGAATCAGGCCCGTGTCGCTGCGGCTCAGAGACACACAGGGAGGGATTTGTGTTTTTTGAAAAACACTCGTTATCGTCATGTCAGGTTTTTGGTGGATTTAATTAAGTCTTGGATTGCAGAGTATGAATGTCCTCTTGCAATTTTCAGTTGATATATACTTGTGTAAAGTTTGTGAAGGCAGGAGGAAAGCTTCCGCGATCACCGTCTCCTCTCCGTTCCTCCAAACCCCGCCCCCTCCCTGAAAATAATGAGTGACAGGCTGATAGTGACCTGATAGAAACTTTATTATTCACTTAATCACTGATTGAGATATGATGAAGCTAACCTAATCTCATACATTCATGGGATTTATGTAACAGTAAGACAGAGAATGCAAGTGTGCACCCACATGCACTATTTTTGTTTTTATAATGCTATTGTAAATACTCCTGCTGTGTTCAGACTCAAGTCCTGTGTGTGATGCCACATTCAAGACATTCAGTATCTTTTTTTTAACAGAAGACCGTTGCTAGAAGCTGCAGCTAGACTGCAGAAGCATTAGTTTTTTGTTTTTGAGGATGGAACCATTTTCACACACAGATATAGGGAGGCTAGACCTATACAATTAATTTATTATGGTTTATAATTTAATGTCAAGACGAAGAAGAAGAAGAAAAAGATGGCTGAACAACTGTTCAGTGTTAATCCTGTGGAGATCTCCAAAATAATGTTCAGCTTAAGTCTCAGCAAAACTCACAACATTTCTGGAGCCTTGTAGACCCAGAAAACTATAAGAACATTCACCAAGCAGCACTGAAAATGTCTGCTTTATTTGGTTCTGTTCTACATACCTTTGTGAAGCAGCTTTTTCTGACATGAATGAAATCTAAATACAGAACAAGACCGACTGATGAACATTTAAATGACTCTATTAAGTGAACCTAAGTGGGTCCAGCATACACCTCTATGGTGGACTGCATGCAGTGCCATTCATCTCACTAACAAAAGAGTGACATGCTTGTAAGGTGGTGATTAAGGACACTTATGTGAATGTTCAGTGATGTACTTATTATGTGGGCCATAATAATATGTGAGAAATCTTCGTTTTCTTGGACCTTATTTTTGATAAGCTTTAGGTATTGCAATTTCACACGTGTACAAAAGTATAGCTTAATTCAACTGATGAGGGCTATGTGAATAAATGTAAGCGATGTGATGCAAGTAGCTCTTGGCCACTTTCATTTTTTGAAAGTAGCTCTCAGATGAAGAAAGGTTGGAGACCCCTGTTCTAAATGATTCTACTTTTCAATGACCTACAAATAATCCTAATAATAATCCCATTTTCAATCTTCCAACTGTTCATATGTTAAAAATGTGTTGTTCAACAAATTTGAGCCTTTGCCACATTTATTTCAATTATTTCAATTATTTTATATAATTCCTACATAATATTTATGTATAAAAGACATCAAAAAGTGCATTTTGAATGATAGGAGACCTTTAAAGAAATGCAACAACAGCCAAATGGCATTGAAGGTATGGCAAAAACAACAATGTCACCAACTGAAATGGGGTGTGGATCGTGACATGCGCAGGTTTGTGACGTCAGACCAAGGCAGACCTTTATTGTATGGAACCTTGGCTCATCTGTGTGACCTCAGCTCTACAGGGGAAGTATGAAGGAGCCTTTAGTCAGTGCAACATTGACTGTGTTCTTCTTTTAATCTTGCACCTTCTTTCCAACACAACTATCTACACAACAAAAGCCTCTCCACAGGAGACAGGAAGTTGGCCCTGCTTGCAGACCTTGCCACATGAACATGTGAGAGGCCTGATACAAGCCTCTATCAGCGCTGTCACTTCCCCTGCTCCTCGGCTCGTCAATGACAAACAACTAGCTTTCCTTTTTACACACACATTCTGATAGTACATCGGAAGGTGTGTTTGTGTGTGTGTGTGTGTGTGTGTGTGTGTGTGTGTGTGTGTGTGTGTGTGTGTGTGTGTGTGTGTGTGTGTGTGTGTGTGTGTGTGTGTGTGTGTGTGTGTGTGTGTGTGTGTGTGTGTGTGTGTGTGTGTGTGTGCAGAGGGGGGTTAGGGTTATTTCTGGATGGTTAGCTTTATCTTCCATGCACATTCACAGTGTATGCTGCGCCAGATGGCCGAAGAACACAGAGCTGTTAATGGTACCACTTGATCATGTTTCCGCTCCGCTATAAATCAGTATATTAACAACGTACATAAATGCCATACACAGAGCTTTTGATTGATCCCCATGTGACGCTTAAAGTCATTTCATAAAAGGAGAGAAAACACTCAATGAAGATTTAGCCATGTGTGCCTGAGTGTTTGTCCGTGGGAGAAATATCACAGGCAGTCATTTAAATACATTTACTGGAATCTAATTAGAATGGCTCTTCATGTTTTCATTTACATAATAGATGTCTTAGTTTATAGAGAGGTAGATTACTGATGAACATGTGGTTCATTGTAACAAGTTGTTATAAGTTCAAATCCAGGCTATTAAATGTGCCTGCCACAGCTCCAAAACACACACACACACACACACACACACACACACACACACACACACACACACACACACACACACACACACACACACACACACACACACACACACACACACACATATATAAACACTGCTAAATGTGTCTCATGTAATACAGTACTGCTCCCATGTGGTGAAACACATGGCTGTGCATAAGAGAAATCAAAAGTTCAAATGAAATCAAAAGTCGCCGTTTTGAATTTACTGCTTTATATCGATACCATTTTGAAAGAGCTTTCTGTTATTTGTGTTGAATAAACTTCAGATATTCTCACATAATGTTGATTCAACTTTCATCCAAACGGCTGTCAACAACTTTGTTGTGCTTGAAATAATTTGCTCAACGTAAAATAAAGAAATTCTAAATGACCACCTTTTTAAAAAGTGAATGTTTTAGCTTCCAAGAAAGTCTCACTGTTGAGGTTTCTGCTAAAATATCTGAATATACCTTATAAAAACGAATAAAACACAATACACTATGCATTGTTGGTAGATATTAAAATGAAATTATTAGCTTGTTCAAAATTACCCTAGCACATTTCTTTAATCAAGTAATGAAAAAACAGGAAAAACATATTAAAACAAAATTGAACCACTGAAAAAATGTTTTTGAATACATTATATATATACAATATAAATATATTTAGACAAGTTGTCTCCGTCTGGTTTCTTTCCATGCAGTTTATTTGTTCATGCGATTTCTGCATCAACCCTCCTTTTAACACAAATAGCATTTCAAATGTAGGCACAGAGCCCAGTGGAAGTCCAGTGTACAAGGAGAAAAGCACATGTGTTACTTATATCATTAATGACAGCAAAATGATTAACTTGTTTATTTTTAATAAACGCAGGATTATATTAGAAATTACAGAAACAATACATTATATTTAATGAAATCAATAGAAGAATTTAAAAAGAAAAAAGTCACTAAACGTGTTTCTGGGTAGACATTAATCATGTGCACGGTGTATCTCACTGAGAGAAGGAACCGATCACACATTTGTTTGCTCTTGTAAAGCTCACTTGTTTCATCTGTGCTATGAGTCCAGCCCTGCCTCTTGTGCTGGAGCTGTGCGCCAGGAAGGCCCTGACCGTGCATGGGAGGTGGAGATCAGTGTCAGTTTCCAACAACGGCTCTATATTTAGCGAGGGGACTGGGTGACCCCGTTTAACTGCAACACGTAGAGACACACTTCTCTGGACCCCACACGCTTTCACCTGCTGGATCTTTCTCTTGCTTTGGTGTGTGTTGAACAGTAAAGGTGAGTTAGGAATGATTTATTTCCTATGGAGTTGCAGTATGCATTTGGTCCTTCTCGTCTTTATAGTGTGGTTTGTTTTATTTTACATTTACAGCACCCCGAAGCACCATGACAGACTGGTGTGCCTCATGCTGCTTGGAGCTGATATCTGTCTTCCACTGACAATCCATCTGAGAAACAACTATGTGTCAGTCGGCGGTGCCAGCGGCCAGACTGGGCCTGAACAGTGCTGACCCGCTGGTGAGAGAGGCTTTTCTGATGGCTCATGACTACATAGACTATGTAACCACAGGGGGGGCCGATGGCACCATGGGTCCTGCCCCCACATCCTGCTCCAGAGCGCTGCGCCATGCTGGAGACGAGCTCCTCACCCGCTTCCCCATCTTCTTCAGACGCTGGCCTCGAGTCTTCCAGGATGTGACGGAGAAAACGGCCTGCCCCACGCTCTTGAGCATCCTGGACGAGCACTTCTTCGCCCCGGTGCCTGGGGGGCGGCGCAGGGAGCTGGCCTGGAGCGCAGTGCTCTCAGTGTATGTGCTGGCGGGCCAGATGGCTCTACATTGCCATGAAAGGGGCATGGTGGTGGTCCTGCCTCAGCTGAAGGAGTGTGTGGGGGCGTATGTGGAGAGAGTCGTCTGCCCTGAGATACGAGATGGCGGAGGATGGGTAAGATAATACAAGCGGATTATTTAAACTTCATGTAGAGTTGGATGAGGTACTTATCCATAATAGCACAGAGGCTATGTAATGTAGCCTATACTGCTGTGAATGGGGGCAGCAGCAAAACATATCATATCAATTTCAGTGTACACTACATTTCTGGAGCTTTTCTATATTGCTTGGCTACCACTGCCTTGATCCCTACCAGCTCCTTTTGGTGGCTCAACTACATGTCCCTGCTGCACCTGTTCCCAGCACTTAGCTTCCATGCAGTTGTGGCTTGACAGGCATACTGTGGGTGATATTCTGACTATGGATAAGTACCTCATACCACCCCACTTTAAACAATGCACCTCTATTAATATCAGGAACATGTGAGAAAAGTATTTGAATGGTTTGAATCAATATCCTTTTAGTGCATAGTGTCGACCAAGCTCCAACACATTGAATCTTCCTATGCAACTGAACTGGGTAGATCATTTCTTCAGAACCTGGTAAAAGCATACATCTCTATAGTTCTTTTTTTTAAATCAGAGAGTCTTGTAATTTACAATCTACATGCCAAAACAAGTTAAGTAACTTTGGTAATTTTTCCAGAGATGACAAATCTCAACCAGTCTTAGAGATTTAGGTTCCCTTCGAGATATAGAAAATGCAAATCACGAGGCTCCTGTAATCTCACTTTACATTGTGCTTTAATGATTTTTATAATGATATTAAAACATTAAGTGCAGGGCCCCTTTGGGATGTGCTCATGCTTTTTAGGTTTTCTGAAGTGAGTCTGGGCCCTACGGTAGTCTACACTTATATAAATAAAATGGCTTCCTGGGTTTGTTGAACGCTTCAGAAGAAAGTGCAAATTCTGATGGGCCATCAAACGGAGATGTTTTCATTTAAAGGGTGTCTTTACAGTAACTGTATGATAAAGGTGCAACGTGTCTAGCACACCCAAACGTAGGGCTGCTCCATTATGGCAAAAATCATAATCTCGATTATTTGGGTCAATAATTGATATCACGATTATTAAAAAGGATTATCCATTTACTTTGAAAACATCCATTTATTGAAACACATTTTTTGAACAGTATGTTTTTAATAGTTGATTACCCTGAACGTTAAGTATAATTCAACTGAATAACCAATAGAAAAAAGAAAAAAGAAAAAGAAAATAAATTCAATAAAATAAATAATCGTTTTATTTCAATTATGTTGTTTTCATAATCGTTGCAAGCCAAAATCGTAATTGCGATTAAAATACGATGAATTGAGCAGCCCTACCCAAACATCCTCATTTGTACAGGCGCACCCTTCTGTGAAAGAAGACACACTTCCATAGTGTTCCATGGAGGACGAGGACAACTGTGTGGTTTGTAATGCGCCACTATTTGCATGTTCACAGAACCACTGCTGATCCAAATAAGTTCACGCCCAAGGCTGCACGCTATGTGAATGCTCTCTCATCCATGAAGCAGATCCTCCCTAAAACAGTTTTTAATGGGATCCTAATGGTGTGTCCTTTGAACAGGAAATCCTAATATCACTGTAAATATATTGGATTGAAATATGAACTCTCATTTGAAACTTTTGTCTATTCTTTTGCTTCTGACAGAGTGGTTTTGTATCACGCTTTGGAGAGAAGCAGGGCCTGGAGTGCCAGGTGAAGAGAGGGTGCTACTGGACTCTGCTGGCGCTGGCTCTCAGCATCCTCACCTACTTCCTGTGGAAGAGAATGACTTAGCCAGCACTGCTACCTAGTGACCGTTCACACTAACTGCAGGAATGAGCTGCCTGCCGTCTGAAAGTCACTTCATTTCTCTTTTAAAATTGTGTAAAAACATGTCGATAATTTACAGAGGTGGGAAGTAACTAAGTACATTTACTCAAGAACAATTCTGAGATACTTGTACTTTACTTGAGTGTTTACATGTCTTCTACTCCACTACACTTCATAAGTAAATCATGTACTTTTACTCCCCTAAGATTGATCCCAATTTGGGGAATGCTTTTGTTTAAGCAGTGTGTAAACAATGCATTGCACACAATGTGAAGATGAAAATGAGTACTAAATGAACAGACATAAGCATAAAATATAAACATCTCAAAATAGAAAATAAAAACAGAACTTTAACTTTAAAGTAAAATATATACATAATGACTGTGGAAGATATAAATCAGAAGACTGTCTGTCAAATATACACTATGCGGGGCCAATTACAGCTAACAAAATATAGTAGTATCATATTTATTAACATGGAGTGTGCAAAAATCAATGTACCGTGTGAAAACACTATATACAGAGGGACAAATTATAATTTTTGAATGTAAAAATCCAGTTATCAAAGCAACATAGGAAACTATGGAGCTGTGTGCTCTCTGCTGTCAGAGGTGAGTGTTGGACAGTCAATGCAGCAGGAAGGACTTCCTGTACAGAGCTGCAGAAGTCTGTTGTTCTGCATGTATTTAATACCTTTAGTTACTTTACAGATCTGGATGAATGATGTGAAATATAACCAAGTGTTAAATCAGACTTTAGTTCCACCTGGAGTAAATTCACAAGCTACCCTGCAGTATACAAAGTCATTCAAACTAGCTGCACCTTTACCAGCTTTGAGAACACTTTCATGATCAATCATTATAAAACATATCATAGATATTATTCTGACATGGACCAATCTGAGTATTTTTAAAGTAGTTGATACTAATACTTTTCTACTTTTATTTGAGTAACATTTTTGAATGCAGGATTTTTACTTGGAACAGAGTATTCCTACACTTATTTTACTCAAGTACTTTTCCCACCTCTGGTAATTAACCTATAGAAATCAGTATAATTCATTACTCCAGGGGATAAGGTATACTATTGTATATAAGTCTGTTAGGTGAAGAACATCTAAGCCTTTGGAATAGTCACGAGGAAACCATTGTTTATGCTGCAGCATGTGAACTGTGATCTGGAATATTTGTTCTTTTTAAACTGTCTTGTTCTGCTGGTTTACTTCCTTTATTAAAAAATGCATTTGTGTTACCCCTTTGTTCATACAGCCTATTTGAAACAACGTATGAAGGATTCAAGATACACAATATGAGCTTATGTATGATAGACAAACATATTGATATATTTGTGGCTACACTCGAGTGTTCTTTCCGGAGAAAGTAGGCAGGTTGACTTGATGTACAGTGTAGTGAATCAGCTAAAAAAACACCTTAGCCTACATGCATTTCTAATAAGTCTTCAATTTAGTTATTATCATCATCAAATGAGTCAATTCATTAAAACCAGAAAGACTTTGTATACAGTTTGACCTTTAACCTTTATTACCCGGAACAGCAGCCAGAACACTGAAAGAATTTGGAAGATTACATTTTAAGCCAACATTAACAGCAGCAGAACAGTAAAAGAACATTACAGTTATAGCCAACATTAACAGCATGAACAATGCTGAAAGAAATTGCAACCGTACATTTTTCTCTTACATTAATTTAAAAGATTTTTGGAAACTGATATTTATGCCAGATCTTCCTCCCCCTCCTCGAACTCTCCCTCCTCTTCAGCAGTGGCATCCTGGTACTGCTGGTACTCTGAAACCAAGTCATTCATGTTGCTCTCTGCCTCAGTGAACTCCATTTCATCCATACCCTCACCGGTGTACCAGTGGAGGAAGGCCTTTCGCCTAAACATAGCTGTGAACTGCTCAGAGATGCGCTTGAACAGCTCCTGGATGGCCGTGCTGTTGCCGATGAAGGTGGCAGACATCTTGAGGCCACGGGGAGGAATGTCGCAGACAGCGGTCTTTACGTTGTTAGGGATCCATTCAACGAAGTAGCTGCTATTCTTGTTCTGCACGTTCAGCATCTGCTCGTCAACCTCCTTCATTGACATGCGGCCACGGAAGATGGCAGCGACGGTGAGGTAGCGGCCGTGACGTGGGTCGCAGGCAGCCATCATGTTCTTGGCATCAAACATTTGCTGGGTGAGCTCGGGCACAGTGAGGGCGCGGTACTGCTGGCTGCCTCTGCTTGTGAGGGGGGCGAAGCCTGGCATGAAGAAGTGCAGACGGGGGAATGGCACCATGTTTACAGCAAGCTTACGCAGGTCAGCATTGAGCTGTCCAGGGAACCTGAGGCATGTGGTGACGCCGCTCATGGTTGCAGAGACCAAGTGGTTCAGATCACCGTAAGAGGGAGTCGTGAGCTTGAGTGTGCGGAAACAGATGTCATACAGGGCTTCATTGTCAATGCAGAAGGTCTCATCTGTGTTTTCTACAAGCTGATGGACTGATAGTGTGGCGTTGTAGGGCTCAACAACTGTATCTGATACTTTGGGGGAAGGCACCACGCTGAAGGTGTTCATAATGCGGTCAGGGTACTCTTCACGGATCTTGCTGATGAGCAGAGTGCCCATTCCAGACCCTGTACCACCACCCAGGGAGTGTGTGAGCTGGAAGCCCTGAAGGCAGTCACAGCTCTCTGCCTCCTTCCTCACCACATCCAGGACAGAGTCCACCAGCTCTGCACCCTCTGTGTAGTGACCCTTCGCCCAGTTGTTGCCAGCCCCGCTCTGGCCTGCAAGACCAGAATCATAAATTAAGATGCGGCACTGTGCAAACAATCAATTGCCATGCTCTGAACAAATCTAATAAATATCACTTACCAAACACAAAGTTGTCTGGTCTGAAGATCTGGCCAAAAGGTCCAGACCTTACTGAGTCCATGGTGCCTGGCTCAAGATCAACCAGCACAGCACGGGGCACATATTTACCACCTAGAAACCACAGGTTAGAAGTAAGGGAACATGGCCAAAATTAAGATTCAACATAAAATTCAATAAGAAATCATAGCTGTTTAGAAGTTACCTGAAGCCTCATTGTAGTAGACATTGATCCTGTCCAGCTGCAGATCACTGTCACCGTGGTATGTACCAGTCGGGTCAATACCATGTTCATCACTAATCACCTCCCAAAACTATAGAACAGAAGCAAAAATTGTTAGTTTTTCATCCAACATCCAACAAAAGGACTCGGAACACCAGTCCACTCCTCATTAGTGAATTTTATTTACAGTTACGAGTGTATTTAGCAGCCTGTTATAATTGTTGATAAATGGTAGTGGATTTAACTATTTTCCCCGCCGGGCTGACTTCGACACGCGCCCTGATCCCCTATTGGCTGCAACTCCCGTGTTATGACATTGAAAAAATGCAATAACTCTGCCTAATTCAGGCAAACGCCTGGCTCAGTATGGCATAACCCAGTAGGCCTCAATTAGTGTGCGAAAAAGCACACGTCCGATCGTCCGGGACGTGTTATTTACAATATCGGACAAGTACATCTTTCCATTGACGTGTCTGACGGAAAAGTGACGTTTTTCGCCCATATTTATTAACAAATTATTGATAAATTGAGCTTAGAAAAGGCAGAACTCATTCGCAAATTGTCCGTGTCCGCCATTGTTGTTTGCGACCGCTTTGCGTTTTCTTCTTTGTCATGTGTGATGCAGTAAAATCTTACCGCTCACTTACGTTAGCGGTGTCGTAAAACCGTGGGGAAATGTCAAATACGATGCAAAAGAAGAAGATTCCAGTGGCCCCAAGAGGTCAACAAAAGATTTATTTATTTTCTAAGAAGGTTTGTACACATCATCCTCTCACAGTTGTAAAATGGTGTGTTCAGTTAACAAGGAAAACAATTGAAATAAATTATGTCAGAAAATAGTGGATTAAGGGCTTGAAAGGGGACTCTAAAATGGATGTACTGATGGGCCTGAAAAGGGGTATGTAAAATCATTTTAGAAAAAAAACAACATACAGGAGGGGTTTGAAAGGGGGTCTACATATTGACACTGACACTGTGCTAAGACTACTACTAGTCTAGTGTATAATTCTTGTATAGCATGTTTCTTGCCAAATATGAACAAATAAACAATAACATGTTACCTTGGTTACAGTAACCCAGATTCTTGTATGCTTTATGTTGACATTTAATAATATTTCAAATAGGTGCAGCATGCTACAAGTGAAAAATGTATTCGGACAAGTAAATTGCCAAACTCACCTGTCCATGGACAAGTACTCTCTAAAAACTCTTACACTGAGACGGGCCCGTTATAAATGTAACTAACATCAATTAAATAATAGTAGTTTTAACTACAAACATCATTGACGTTTTAATACAATATTACTAGTTTGTGGTGCTTTTCTCTTTTTCAACGACAGTGCAACATTTGTACGCATTGCAGTAACGGCTGCCAAACGAACAATGGTATTGGTAACAAAGTATTTGAAAGCAACAACCGGACAGACAGTTATTTATCTCAATCAAAACATTTGATAAAATCTTAAACCATTTGTCTTCGTCAAAAAGTTGACATAATACTTCCATTGATGCGTTATATTAAACATTTACATGCAATTTGCACAAAGTAGGCCCCATTTGATGTACAGTAACGGCTGTCAAACGACCAATATTGATATAACGGTAAGCGTTATCGTTTTAGTGTTTTCTAGCAACAAACGGACAGACACTTATTCCAATCAAAACATTTTACATAATGTCCATAAAACATTTTAATCGTTTTTAATTCGTCAATACGTTGAGATAATACCGCCCTTAACACGTTATATTAATAATTTAATAAGTAGGGCCCATTAAATGTTCCAAGGGTTGGGTCAAAAATGGGACCCGAACTAGCACAGGCTCCCAGAGCAGAGAACAAGATATTTCTGAATGAAAATTATTCAATTTAGAAGAAAAAGGGCTAATTGCAACCTTACTAACCTTAGCACCGATCTGGTTGCCGCATTGGCCGGCTTGGAGATGCACAATTTCCCTCATATTTCTTTCTGGATATTGGTTAGAGATCTCACAGACGACAACGCCCTTCTCTTTGTGCCGGCGCGGCGGCTCAAACATTGGCTTTATACAACAACAAGACCCGCCCCTTTCTCCCCAACTCGAATATCTATTGGCAGATTTACGAACGCATCATTAACAGACACATAATAACCAATACAAGCTTTCAATGCGTCTCGGTGATAATCCGCCTGCCAATCACATTCACCTCAAACGTGTCTACTCTACATCTAATCTGCAGACGTTGGCCTATTTCCCATATCATGGCTGATGAAGATATATGCAACACTCACCACAGATTTTATTCTGCATTTCACAGCCGGTCTTGGCGTCTTTTAAAGACTTTCTTATATCATAGTTAAGTATTTTTGATTTATATCAGTTATAAGAAGGAGATCAGAGATGACTGCAAGGAATCCCCAGTCCACGTGGCTGACTAAAGGCATACTATGGTCCAGTTTAGCATAACCTTCGCTTTCGGAACTCGATGTTCTGGTGTGGCTACACAGTCATGATTTTCAGGCTCTTAGGCCAATGAGTCTACTCATACCAGTTTAGCACAACAGCAGCTAAATGTGCACATTGTTCCCCTATTCTCTGGTACAGTTCATGATGAGATGATGTAGGGTTTTATCAGAATAAAAAGCTGCTTCTGATCTACTTGATAATGTTGCATAAACAAAACTGCTCTGCAATAAACTAAATTCATAAATAGTCCATGCATTCATATCCGAGTAAAGACACCATTGGATACTGAAGAACAGTTGCATTTGGGTGTAAACAGATGAAATGCAGTCTATCAAAAAAGAGCTTTGCAGTGCCCAGAAGGATTTTAGTATACAACATGGTTATAGTGCCTGCCAGGCCTATGCAACACAGATGTGATGCACATGTAACAATAAATAAGTAGTATGGAAATTATTTTACACAGGATGAGCATTAAACCAAACCTCTGTAGGGATATCTTGTAAAATGGTTTCTTCAAAAGTTTCCACCTGATTCAGCTTCTACAGTATAAGCCTACATCTCGTACAGAGCATCTCTGAATCATGGTTAATTCTTAAGATAATGAATGACAAAAAATTCAGTTTCAATGTAGCCTTTCATTTAAACATAACAATGTTCAGAAGCACAGGATTCCTGGAGACAATGT